TCTGTGAAGCAAGAAACGAAGACTCAGTAGAGAGGACGGCGAAACTCAAGATCCTCTTTTTCAGTTAAGCTAATCAAATAAATCAATCTCTGATAAGGCTGATCGTGACTAGAAAAACAAAGGCTCAAATAAGTCATTGCAAGCTTAAGAGGAGACAACACTGCAGATAAAACAGAATGTTCAAGAGACCATGAGCAATTACATGTGAGGGCTGGAGGGATGGCTCAGTGGTTAAGAGCACCTACTGTTCTTCCAGAGGACTTGGGTTCAATTCCCAGTATCCACCCGGAACTTCAGCTCCAGGGGGGATCTGCACCACAGGCCTCCATGGGCACCCGCACTCATGTACACATACTTACACAATATACATAATTAAAAATGATGAAGATAAAATTTTAAAAAGCACTTACATGTGAGACTATGCAAATAAGCTTGGAAACTTGGACAGAATGAACCAGGGTATAATTATGTGTGTGTAGTGCTCAGGGAAGCCAGAAGAGAATGCTGGATCCCTTGGATTTGGAGTTACAGACAGTTCTGAGTCGCCATGTGGGTGCTGGGAACTGAGGTCCTCTGCAAGAGTAGCAGGTGCTCTTAACCACTGAGCCATCTCTCCAGACTCCTAAAAATATTTTTTAAAAACAAACTATTCTCTAACTTACTCTATGAGACTATGAGGGATAGCAAAAGATAATATATGATAAAAGAAAATTAGTCCATTCTTACACCTAACACGAAGAAGACAATTGCAAGAAAGGCAGGCTTAATCTTGCGATGTGACCAAGACCATACGTGTGACTAAGCTGGCTTATTCTAGGAATACAAGAGCATCTTAATGTAGAGTCTCCAACCATAGTCACCACATGACACTTTTGATCATCTCCATAGAAGGAAAATGATTAAAAAAAAAAACTATCATCTATTTGCTATGGTTGGATATAGCATAAATGTGTCTCCCAAAGGTTCGTTCATTGGAAAATCTGTCTGCTATGTGGTATTATTAAGAAGAGATGGGACCTTTTAGATGTGAGAGAAGGTTACTAGGTCATTACTGAGCATTGCCCTTGTGAGGGGGAATTAACAGAGGTCTCAAGAGAAATAAGTAGCCTTGCAAGAATTGGTTGATAGAAAAAAAAAACAATAGAAAATAAAAACAAACCAACAAAAACTCACCAGGGCCAGGGAGGCAGCTCAGCTGATGTCTTCCTTAGGATTACGATTGCTGTGATGAAACCCCATGACCACAAGCAGCTCCAGGAGGAAAGGCTTTATTTGGCTCGTATATCCTGAATCATAGTCCACTGAGGGAAGTCAGGGCAGGAACTCAAACCAGGCAGGAGCTGATGCAGAGGCCATGGAGGGGGGCTGCTTACTGGCTTGCTCCCCACTACTTGCTCAGTCTGCTTACTTATAGAACCCAGGACCACCAGCCCAGGGATGGAACCACCCACCATGGGCCGGGCTCTCCCCTATCTATCACTAATTAAGAAAAGACCCTCCAGGCTTGCCTACAGCGGGATCTTCTAGAGGCAATGTCACAGTTGAGGTTCACTCAGTTCTCAGATGACTCTAGCTTGTGTCAAGTTGACACAAAACTAGCCAGCACAATTGATAGAGTCCTCAGTGTGAGCATGAGGACCCGGTCTGGTTAACCAGAAGCCTCCAACATGCACACCTTTGCTAAAAAGCCAAGCATGGTGGTGTGCACTTGTAATCTCTGCGCCAAAGAGGCAAGATGGGCGATTCCTGGGGCTCAATGGCTAGGCAGCATGGCCTACTGAGCAAGTCAGTAAGGGACCTTGTCTCTAAAAACAGGGTGAATGGCCCCTGAGGTTATCCTCTGGCCGCTGTATGTACATGCATGCACTTGTTCTCAAACACATGGATCTGCACACACACAACATGCACAACACATACACGCACACGAAAGAGCAGCTTCTTCCTTCTTGGTCTCCAGCTTCCTGTCTCACATGAGCTCTCTCCCTCTGCACATAACCCACAAATGTGCTGCCATCTACCAAAAAGCTGTCCAGCTGTGGATTTTCAGCCTCCAAAACTGTCAACAAAACCTGTTTTCTTTACAGATTACTGAACTCAAGTATTTTGTTATAGCAGCAGAAAACAGACCAATATAACACTCATGATGAGAAAGAGAATTTTCTTAGAAAAAGAGAAACCCAACAAATTTTTTTTCCTCAACGCAATATACATCATCTATAGATCTACAGCAATTATCATTTTGATACTGAAACGTCAGTCACATCTGACTTCAAAATCCAGAACAAGGGCTGGGGATGCAGGTCAGTGACACAGCATTGGATTCTGTGATTCCAATCAAGCTCTGGATTCCATCCCCAGTGTTGCCAAGATTTAACTGGTTAACTAAAGAACAAAACAAGGGCACTCATCACCATCATTCTATGTACAACTGAATCTGTTGTAGAGATCTCAGCTAAGGCATAAGGACCAAACGGTTAAAGAGGCAAAGCTGGGTTGGGGATTTAGCTCAGTGGTAGAGCGCTTGCCTAGCAAGCACAAGGCCCTGGGTTTGGTCCTCAGCTCTGTAAAAAAAAAAAAAGAGAGAGAGAGACAAAGCTACATGCAACCAGGAAGATGGACTGCTCAGTACTCTCAAATAACAGTCATTTGCACTGGAAATTCAGAAGAATGAACGTTCGTTCTCACAGCCACTCAGAGGCTTCGGCCAGCCTGCTTTTCATTAACATAAATATCTGCTGAGGGCTGCTCAGTCAGTAGAGAACTTGCCTAGAATGCACAAAGCCCTGAGTTCCTGAGTTCCCGAGTTCTATTCCCAGAATAAACCGGGGCTGGTGATTCAACCCCAGCACTCATGAGGAGAGGGTTGGAGGCACGAGTTTCAGGAGTTCAAGGTCAGCCTCCATTGTCAAGGGAGTTTGAGGCTATCCTGGGGAATGTGACACCCTGCCCCCAAATAAATAAATGGGTGGATAGACAGACAGACAGATAGACAGACAGATTGTTCAACCTTCAGGATCTTCTCTTAAGAAAATAAAAAATGGCCGGGTGGTGGTGGCACACGCCTTTAATCTCAACACTCAGGAGGCAGAGGCAGGCAAATCTCTGAGTTTGAGGCCAACCTAGTCTACAGATCCAGTTCCGGGATAACCAGGGATACACAGAGAAACTCTGCCTCAAAACAAACAAACAAACAAACAACAAAAAAAAAAACCCTGAATTTTCATATGCTAACAATAGTGGTTTAGAAAAAGAACGACTTTAAAATGAGTTTTGCAATGACAAGAAGAATATAAGCTGTATAGAATAAAATCTAATACATACGATGAAGAACTTTAACAAAATGACAGAATTTGATTGAAAGCATTATATATGATCTTGGGAAAGAAAATTCCATGTGTGAAATTCCAGTTTTCTCTAAATTTATCTATATATTCAACGAGATCAAAGCCCAATAATTCTTTTGAAAAAAAATGTCCAGCTATTTAATAGGTTTCACTAGTATTTTGTTATAGTGCTGCCAATAAAGAATTATTGTACTCACAGGGCTGGTGAGAGAGAGAGGCACTGGCCACACGAGGGAGCACCGGGGTCAGTCGGGAGGCAAGCGGTGGGGGGATGGGCAACTGACTTCATCACAGCGTCCACCAGAGGGAACTGGCATGTAGAGCAAGCAGGGTTAGTGCATCAGTGGACTCCGGGAGTGTGGGCTGTCTCAAGCTGCTCAATATCGGGCTATGAGATGACCGTGAGGGGCAGAGAAACCTGAAGTGTGAGACTCCAATTCAGAAGTGGCTGGGGGCACACAGTGAGGATTTTACTTTGAAAAGGTGGCCTGGAGAGATGGCTCAGTGGGTAAGAGCACTTGCTATGTCAGCATCTGGACCTGGGTTCAGACCCCAGAACCCACACAAGAAGCCAGGACTGGGGGCTGGAGAGATGGCTCAGCAGTTAAGAGCATTGGTTGCTCTTCCAGAGGACCTGGGTTCAATTCCCAGCACCCACATGGTGGCCCACGCTGTCTGTAACTCCAGTTCCAGGAGACCTGACACCCTCTTCTGGCACCCACATGGTGTATAGACATACAGGCAAAACACCCATACACACAAAACAAAAATAAGTAAACTATTAAAAATAATAATAAAGTCAGGCTTGTCTGAGTGCTTCTGTAACCTGTCCTACAGGTAGGAGGAAGCAAGGACCCTGGGGCTTCCTTTAGCCAGCTTGTACCTCTGGCCTCCTCCTCTGGCCTCTGCATGTGCACACACCACACACACACACCACACCACATGCACACACCATGTACAAACATTCACCACACACCACACACACACATCATATGCACATACACTCAGCACACACACCACACACACACATACACCACACCACATACTGCACACATACACACCACACACACACACATACACACACACATATACACACCACACACACACATACACCACACACACACACTACACCACACACACACATACACCACCACTACCCCCACACCACACCACACACACACATATACCACACACACACACACACCACACACACACACACCCCACACACACACACACCCCACACACACACTACACACACATACTCACCACACACACACACACACACACATACTCACCACACACACACACACACACCATATACATACACAATGTGTACCGTAGAAGGAGGAGGGTGACAGATTAGCAAGGGGCCAAGGCCATAATGTTATGACCATATTATGAGGTCAGCCAAAATAAGGTGTGCCTGGCAAACACAGGGAGGGTGGGTGTGAACACGGGCTCTCCAGAAGCTGGTGCCAACGTCTCTGAAGAGAAACTGAAAACCCAAGTCAAGTTAAGGTACTCGTGACGAATCAGACATGGAAATGTGCCCTACCAAATATCAAGATGTATTTTAAAGTTATCCTAATTAACACAATGTGGTGGAAGCCCAGGAATAGATAGAACAGAAAACCTAAAAACAGACCCACACAGATATGGAAACCTGATACACGTTTTATTGATTCAGAGACACACAGCTTGCATATTTTAATTTCCCTGAAATCAGAACACTGCTTGCAATTGACAGGCTCTGCAGCACCCCTTGGCTAGCAGCTACTCAACGGTTACCAGCCACATTTATTTGTTGATGTGTGCATGTGCAAACGTGTATATGTGCATGGGTGCACAGACGCCACAGTGCACATCTCAAAGGATGTCTTGTAGTAGTTGTTCTCTCCTGCCACCACCGTGTGGGGCCCCGGGCATCGAACTCAGGTCACCAGACTTGGCAGCAAGCTTCTCCACCTGCTGAGCCCTCTTGCCAGCCCTTGCACTGCTTTTGACTCCCCTTCTTGTAGTTGATCTTTCAGGCAGGAGGTGACTTAAGGAGTCATATAAGAAGAAGCTAGATGTGCAGTGGTTCTCACGTTATAGCTCCCTGCTGGTAAAATCAGGAGAGGACGTTGGAGGGGAGGGAGGCGCAAACATGCAATCCCAGCATTGGAAGTCAAGAGAGCGAGATGAGGAGCCCCAGGTTCTCCTCAGCTACACCATAAGTTTGGGGCAGCCTGGAGTACAGAGATCCTGAAAAATGAAAGAGAGAGGGAGAAAGGAAGAAAGGGAAGAAGGGAGGAGGGAGGGAGGAAGGGAAGGAGGGAGGGGGAGGGGGAGAAGAAAGTGCTTTTGCTACAACTTATAGAATAGTTATCAGTTGTATTGAAGAAAATTCCGGAAAAAAATTCTAGCTCAAACAAATTCATCACTCTTCTGAAAGTCCTGCATAGTAAAAAGAACGGAGCTATTGATACATAAAACTATTAGTTCACCAACAAAGACTTCATGCTGAGCCAGAGGAAGTCAGCCCCAGAAGGACACAAAAGGGACACGCTCAGAATCCATTCATGCCTGAAGAGAGAGAAGTTGAGGGATACAGAAAAGAATTCAGTAATGAATCGGAAGAGAGACCACTGGACATGGACATGAGCACCTTTTGGGGAGGTGGACGTGTGTGTGTGTGTGTGTGTGTGTGTGTGTGTGTGTGTGTGTGTGTGTGTGGACATGTGTGTGTGGACATGTGTGGTCATATCGGCAAGAGTGGGGGGTACATGACATACACAGTTACGGAGGATGAAGCTATGCATATGATCCACATTTCGACCACATTACTCCGTATGCCTCAAATACAAGTTTTCAAATGTTGTATCAACAATGCTGTATGGTTTCACCTTTGGTGGAGGGTAGAACCCCCACCCCAACCCCCAAGCTACACAAGGAGTTCGAGGCATAAGGAGAAGGAGGAGCAAGGCAGGAAGAGGAGAAGGATGTGGAAAGAAAGAAAGATCAAAGAGGAAAGAAAAAACTGCCCCCCCAAATGGACAGAATCAACTTTTTCTGAACTCTGGAAATGAGTCAAACATTTATAGTCACCTGGGGTTAATGCTAGAAACAGCCAACTGTTGCTGTTGACCTGTGTGTGTGTGTGTGTGTGTGTGTGTGTGTGTGTGTGTGTGTGTGTGTATAGGAGGACAAGTGTGCATGTGCATACACATATAAAGGTCAAAGGACAACATCAGCTGTCAGTCCTCAAGAGCCAATCACTTAGTGGTTTGAGAAAGGTCATTTTACTGAGGCCTGGAGCTCACCAGCTCACTAGACTGGCTGGCAAATGAGCCTGGGGATGGTTCCCTCTCTGCCTGCCCAGCACGGGGATTACAAGCGTATGCCACTGGGTCCCACTTTAAAAATATTTTTGAAGTGTGTAAGTGTTTTGCTTTTATGCATGCCTATGGATCCTGTGCGTGCAGTGCCCAAGGAGGTCAACAAAGGGCATCAGGTCTCCTGGAACTGGATTCTCCCGATGTCTGAGTCTCCATGCAGGTGCCGGGAATCGAACCCAGGTCCTCTGGAAGAACAGCCAGTGCTCTCAACTGCCGAGCCACCTCTCCAGCCCGTGTCCAGCTTTTTTTTTACTGGGCTCTGGAGTTCAAACTCAGGGCCTCATGCTTGCAAAGCAAACAACTGAGCCTTTTCTTCCCTTCTTTTTGAGGGTTTCATGAGGTAGTCCAGGGCAGTCTGGAACTCTTGGCAAATTTCCTGCCCCAGTTTCCCACCTGCTGGGATTACAGGCAGGAAGCTACCATGCCTGGTTTATTGGTTTTTGATCTTAAGTTGCCCAGACTGGTCTTGAACTCAATTCTCTGAACTCACCTTTCCAAGTCACTGGGATTCTAGGCACACACGACAGTGCTCAGCCAGAGACATTTGTGAAAGACAATGACAGATAATCGTGCAGCCGCCTGGGAAAGAGAGACAGACAGACAGAGACAGACAGAGAGAGAGAGAGAGAGAGAGAGAGAGAGAGAGA